AGCGTCCAAAGACGAACCAGAATATGTATTAAAATCGAAAAAATAAAATTCACTTGAATTTTGATCTTGCTGAACCTTAACCGTAATGTTTTTCATAAGCGAGCTCCTTTCTCGAGAATAGTGACTAATCTTCTTTTTTGCGTAAAAAACATGCAGTAACAATGATGCAGATACGTAATACCAGAATAAGGATAGCTGCTCTAATGCGCTCTCTCACCATCCACGTGTGTTCATCTAAGATGAATGACTGATATCTATCTTCGATGATCCTCTTGAATCTTTTCAGTTTCTATAACTCATAGTGCTATATATGTCATATGTATATATGTATTATCGGTGTTGTTACAATGAAACTATACACAGTTTTATGTTCATACAAGAGTGACTGATGGAAGTGGGAAAACATCAGAGGACTACTTCTTCTTTAACATCAGCGTAAGAAATGATCTCGATACAGTCAAACATACAATATACAAACCATAACCATTACTTCGTCTTAACGTCATCGGTAGTTATAAAAAATCTAAAGTAACAGATAAGTTCGACTCATTCTACCAAAGGGAAAGATCAAAAATGCGTTCGAAGAAAGAAATTGCAGTTTGGGACTTAGTTTGAAAATGCTAGGAGAAGACACTTCCCTCATCCATATTCATTGTCATATTCGAAATTAGTACCAAAGATTACGTACGGTTTCATACTTTTCGTCAAAAAGTCGGGCGACTCTTGGAGAAATGGAAGTTTAGAATTCGAGCGAGAACTTAAAAGTAGGACGTACTTATGAGGGAAGTCCACTAACTTGAAAATCGTTTGCAGGCCACAATCCTGTGGGTCATAGGTTATCGACGGTCCTGAATTCGAATATCACCATCAGATCGGCTGCTACGTCTTGCATGACTGGGTTTTGGCCCGCAAACGATTTTCAAGTTAGTGGACTTCCCTCGTTAGCTCTTTTTCTCAAGATTAATATGCAGTAAGAGACGATACTACTGTTTTTTATTCGCAGATGGATATTATCAACGTTATTAGAAGCTAATATATATGGCAGAATTCCATCATCATCATTAACAATTGACTTAGAACATTTAAATTTAGCATTAGATGCAATTGAATCCTATCATGATTACAACGAACAACGTCAACAAGAATCTATACCTGCTATGACATTTTGGTCGCAATATTATAACGAAACATCTCAAACCTGGATATCAATACCATCGAATATGGTACAATTATTTAATCAGTTTGATCACAATTTATCAGAAATAATTAAACTATTGGAATTAATCGGTATAAAAGGTATTGCTAAATTGATTTCAGTAATAGAACAACAATCAGATATACTTAGTAAAATACTTCGAATACCATCAGATTTTGATGATACTTATGTACATATTGGTCTAGGTTCACTATTAAAATTATCAGAAAAACAATATAGTCTTGTACCATATGAGAAATGGCTAAAATCAAATTCCAACTTTAAACAATTAATACAGCTAACATTAAAATATTCATATCGTCCAACACATGTTGACCAAGATTACAATACAATTGATCCACGTACATATTATTGGTTGAGAGAATTTTTATATGATTAACTATCAATCATATATGACGATTTAGATTCTTTTGAGCCCTCTTCATTCTCTTCCCTCACGATGGTTGTCCACGTGGCCGATTTAGGCAGAAAGTCAAAGTGAATATTTTTCACTTTTTGTTAATAAATTATTATTTTGTTTTGTCACTTTCATCGAGCTCAAACTTTGCACAAATATTCTTCATATTGATATTCTACAATCATCAGACTTACTAAGATTAGTACCTCTCAGTGTGTCTATTCTGGTACAAAGCAACAACCCTCCCATCCTTGTAGTACAGTATCATGAATATATGAATGACGGCATATACTATTAAACAAAATAAAACACCCATACTTGTTAATACATGGTTACAAAATATAACTGAATCACGAATGCAAGCATCCAGTCATATTCATCTGCCATTTAATGTAAATATTATTGATATTACGGTAACAGCTAATGTTTTATACGGTATAACAAGTGCAGTTTTAAATCAAATTGGAGATTTTCAATCAGACTTTGATCAAGATATGCAGGTTAGTCTGTAAGAATATAAGCAAATAAGTTAGTTATAGCACCAGATTTGCCTATAACACTTCAACTAAATTCGAAAAATCTTATTACTAAATGTACAGTCCGAATTCAGCGGTATATACTCTAGGAATAATACATCGAGACCGAAGTGGATAGGTTTAGGCAGAGTTTGAGTTAAGTCAAAAACGTGAAAATTTCGTTTCGCGCGTAATCCAACGAAAGTTTAATGTTTTTAAAAATTTGAACGTTAGAAAGGTGTTACATTTTAACGAAAATCGTATCATTCGCTTATAGCTGATATCTTCTACTATTAACTATGATTTTGTTAAAAAAATGAAAAACCGGATTTTCGGTTCTCTTCCGATAGTAAAAACATTTTTCGTAGAGTGATTTTGGATCACAAATTTTATTCTGAAATTTATGATCGCTATGAGACGGGAATGGTCAACCAACTTCGATCTAATGCTGTCTTACATATGCGACATGTGCGGACAAAAACAAAAATACTATGAAAATACCGCCATCTATATTCTTCTTTCGATTTCTTTCACAATTTTGTTTTATAACTCACTTTGTAAGGTGCAGGTAATTCAAACTTTCAGTAAAACTTTTTCTTTGCATTTTCTTTACATCATTTGATAGAGCGTGAGCTGCTGATCACGAAAAATCACTTTTTAGCCTTAGCAAATACTTCCTTCCGGTCGAAAAATACGAAATACTCGAAAGATGTCGATTTTGGAGAAAAACACATCTTTTTTAAAATATGCCAAATTTTCTACTTCGCTCGTTTTTCAGCTTCTGAAAATAATTTTTTCAGATGCAGCATCAGAAACTGAATATAAAAAAAAAGTTGTTAAATTGATTCCAGACCGAAAACTCTATTAGTGGTGGTGCTTCGAATCTCGTCGAGTCCACTAGGTCGATTTTGTAAACCTATCTAGTTTTTTCATGCAAGTGATGGAGTGAAATATTTTATTTCATTCGACTTATCATACCACCAGTGACAAAGTTACAGACCACTTTTTTTCCTTTTCTTTCCTGTGTTGAGAAAAATCGTTTTTACTGGTATCATAGTCATTTTAGGCGATATTCAAAAGTTTTCGAATTTAAATAAGACTTTTACTCATAAACTAAATACAGATTCTGAATCAGCACAAACAACTGAATCGAATGAAGTGTATTTCAAGTCAATTTGACAATTTTCATTTTTTGACCCGTATACAACAATTTGAGGTCTCCGACGATACCTGAAAAAATGAGCAAAAATTTGTTTGTATTTTACTAGTAACGAGTACGACTCCGAGAGATCGAATTAAATGCCAGATTTATGGGGAAAAAAGGATCGCAAGTGATGCATTTTACTAGAGTTCGGTCTGAAAAAGCGAGATTTATGCGATTGAGTGGGATGTTGTGCACTGTATTCTCCTCCTACACAGTTTTATTTTTCGAAGTTCATTCTTTTCCAATAGTTATGATAAATTTGGAGAAGTAAATCCGCTTTACAAGCAATGAACTATAAGGGCGCGTCTTTCAACTGCCCGTTGGGGCTAACATTTTATTGGGGAAAAGCTAAATAAAAGAAAGAAAATTATTTTATTCACTCATGAAACAGTAGATTATAGGAAGAACGTAGAACGTAGAGTACTTGACTTACAAATATCTTATAAAACGATTCTATAAAGTCTTATACAAATCTTACCAGTTTCTTATATAAAATTCTTATCATCCTACGCATTTCATCGACCGCCTTATTAAGAAATCATAAGGTTGCCATAAGATTCTTACAAATACTCTGTAAGATTCCTATAGGAATCCTGTATAAGATTTGGTCTCTAGAGGAATCGACTTTGATGTTAAAGTTAGCACATCCCGTCATGATTTCACTTATATAGTGATCATCCCATCTATACTTACAAAAAGCTCGATCGAAAGTATTTCTCTTGATAGGATCTTTATGAATGTACTGGCTCGTTGATATCATGGGCAATAGAAAATAAACATGACAGGTCGTCCAGTGAATCATTCAATTATTACAGAATAATTATTTCAATAGTTGGTACACATTCTCTTTTTCGTTTTATCTTTTATCTAAACAAGGTACTATTATCAATTTTATTTTTATATTATCTTAACAAGGTATTAAGTAAGTACTATTTACCTGAACAGATTTGTACATTTTGTCTAACTTGTGCTTATATATAGACAAATTTCTATCATTGTATATAATTAGATTGTACATTAGGTCTGCATGCACATCTTTTCTTGCATTAACGATTAATGGGTTTCCAGATCGTGGTATTCTTCACCCAACTTTTGCACTTTAAACCTCTCATCTACGCAGCTGAAGGCGCTCGAGAGATCGAAGCTAAACTTTTGGTTGAAATTTTAAAGATTTCTGCTTATATAATACACGTTCCACTTTTATAATTAAAAAATGGAGAGAATTTCACAAAAAAAGATGCCATTTTTATAATGATGATAAGTATGTTCTAAAGATTTAGCACAAGTTTATTATCCATCTCATTATAATTTTCTTTGGTATGTATCACGTACATTATTTCTGTTAGAACAAGCACGACAAAACAAACAATTACAACCAGTAGCATTCGATCTTGTTTACAACAAACTATCTAACACATTTAGAAGTTACGTTTATCTGTATATACAGAATCATATAAATAAAGATAGTGATAGTCGATATTATTTCGAGGAGTTTCTAGGTACAAATGATACAGATACATTTGGTAAACGGACACCAACAGGTGAAGATCGAATATTTTCAACAGCACTTGTTGTTAACTGTCTCATAGCATCATTTACATATTTTAATGCAACCACAAATCAACTACATTGGGTGCTAGCATCATCGTTAACTGATGTAAAACTATTAATAGACAAATCAGTGCAATGGTTAATAAAAAATATAAACCAATATGAACCACAGAATTGTTTTTTTGGCGCATCATTTGAGAATTATAAACAATTTCCATATGTAGTCATTCACACACGACTTCTGTAAAATTACTTTTCTGACTTGGTATCTCTTTGTTCGAGTCCTGATCAATTTTCAATTCCCCCCATCCCTTGGTACAAACTAATTTTCAGTCTTTTATAGTGCTTAGTTTTTGAACATAAGATGCATGTAAAGCACACTTCGAGTGAAATGTTTTTTGAGTTTATTATACATATTCGGATTCACTAGAACTCGCTGATCACAAATATCACCTTCCCAGTCTGAAAAAAGGCTTTCATTCACAAGAAAAATCCCAAATACTGGGAAAGCCTCAAAAATCGAAAAATCTTTTGTTTTGAAAAAAGGTTTCATAGGTTTTGCCCAGCTTGTGCTGTGAGCTTGCTTGCGCTTGGTATATTTGGATTCCTTATTGAAAATTGAATCTAGTCAAGATGGCTTCAAGTCCCCACACACTAGATAGCAATGTGTAATGAGACACCCCTTGTTCAAAAACACTACTAGTTTTTTATGTGGAAAGGGATCGTCTTGTGTCGCACACCAAAAGAACCGCCTTCAGAAGAACTTCAAGAGTATGTAGAGTGTTTTAAAAAAAGAAAATTCGGGTTTTCTAAATCAGTGGCGAAAAACTCGAAATTCTGCCCGTAATTCTCAGTTTTCTCGCTCAGAACTCAACGTCTGAGCAATACAAATACCATATTCACAAGTGAAGTTCTGAGCGAGAAAATTGAGAATTACGGGCAGAATTTCGAGTTTTTTGCCCCTAATTTAGAAATTAGCGATTTTTAAGGCTTTCCCAGGATTTGGGATTTTTGTTGTGAATGAAAGCCTTTTTTCAGACTGGGAAGGTGATATTTTTGATCAGCGAGCTCTGATGAATCCAAATATGTATAATAAACTCAAAAAACATTTCACTCGAAGTGTGCTTTACATGCATCTTTATGTTCAAAAGCTAAAAGTATGAAAGAAGCAAAACCATGGCACAAATTAATGTTTTTTTAAAAGACACCCTTCGGACGTTCAGAATAGGTAATCGTCAAAAAAACTAACGAATAGTTTTGGCATCTCGGATTATTTTTGCAGTTAACGAGTTTTTCTTCTTTACCCTAATCTATAACTCGAATATGGCGATTGAGTGACTGAATGGCAAAAAAGTTTATTTTGCAAAAAATATATCTCTCGAAAGGGTTTCTGAAATGTATTGATACAGAAAATTTTCTGAAAGAACTTTTTCTTCTAGAAAAGACTTGTTACAGAACTGATTCAAACCAAGGATGATGTCGTGTGAACTTTATTTCAAACTTCTGGGTCTGAAAAACATATGATGAAGTTTAAAAACATTTATGCGTTTTTAGGCAGAGGCTATAGTTACTTTATGGAAGAAAAGATTATTTATGCAAAATTTCAGTTAAGTTGAACGTTACAAAATCGTTATACTGAATGAGTGTATTTCTGAGGCTTTGTTTGCTTGGAAAACATTTTGTGTCTTCGAATTTAAGTTGAAACAAGATATTTTTTCAGATAAGTAGTAGTCCACACAGTGATAGTTGATTAGTAAAAGCGTTTTCCATGTTTAAATAACAATTAACTTCTGCTGTTCATATCAATTTGTAAACCAACTTTGTAGCTCGCTTTTTTGAAAGATAGTTTAGACACTCATGCATACAACTTGTTAAACGTCAACTCCGACTTTTTGTTTAATGGCCCATATGAATGTACAGCGTGTCTCACTTAGACCGCACGTCCAGTGTAAATGGCATTCATTGGTATCCAGCAAATATATATCAATTTTTAAATGGAACTAATTTTAATCCTAAAGACTATCATCTACAACTGGATGATATAGCATCAACAATTGACAATGTTATATGTGGTGTACAAAGTTTAATTGATGAACAAGAATATACACAAATGCTAAAACAGTTACATTTTAATGTATCAACACCAACAACATTTAATGGTTATAATCAGCCAGATGCAGTATTTCCATTTTGGTTATCACAACCGTATACATATTCAACAACGTTATTAGCTTTATCACAATATAATAATTTAATTTCAACTAATATAGACCTGGAACAGCTAGTTTGATTGTTATATATGCGCCATTATAAGCGGTTAAGTTTTTTTTCTTCTTGCGGTGTGAAACGCTGAGTAGGCGTGTTATTTTTGATTTTTAGCTTCCGAATTTTCAAGTTTAATTTCACCATAAATACTATGAATATTTGATGCTAGTTCGCCCAGTGATGATAATAAAAATGACTAGTTAGAGTGAATTATACAGTGATTGTTACTATTTTAGGCAAAACGTTGGAAAAAAATTTGGATCTTCGGAATAGATCCAGTCACCTAAAATAATTTCTCGGACAGATGGGCAAACCAAGTCCGGACTGCTAGGCTTTTTCACACGGACTAGGACTGAAGACATAAGAGACTTTGACTTTCCTTTGACTGATTTTTTTTCCCATTTGTGACCGGACTTTTCAGTTAAAATTTGAAAAGGATGAAAAGAAAAACGAAACTGAATTCACTCTTTTATCTTTTTCATGTTACAGCGCGGTTGGTTAAGATTAGTTCTGATCAAAAGTTTAACTACTTTGCTAGTGGATGATCCGATGACTTAGTCAGGCAGATCAGGATTCTAGTCATGAAACCAGTGTTTAGTCTTATCACGAATTAGTACCTGGTTTCGGAGACGGGAGTTTCAAGTTCCTGGTCAGCAATTTTGTCAGAACCTGGTCAGGAAATCAGTAACTGGCCAGAAAAAATCACTTGTCTGGTCAAAAAGTCGGTTATCTGCTCAGTAAAAGACAGGTAAAAATTCGTGCGCAATAATAATCAGTCAGTTATAGCGACTTTTCTAAAGCAGAATAAAAAAGCACTGATTTACGTGTGGATTTTATTTTTTTTACAGGTAAACACTCGTCCGTCATGGATGCCCAAACCGACAGGTGCCAAAATGGGGTATGACTCATTCTGTAAAACTGTCTAGTTTTTGGGTGAAGAACTAGACCTTTAATTCACACAGGGTTATATCGGCCACCAAAGCTTTAAAAGTACGTGTGACATTTTTAAGATTTTGTTTCCGTTTCTGAGAAAATTCAATTTTTCTAAATCTGAAGCCAAAAGTCGGATTTCTGCCCGTAATTCTCAATTTTCTCGATCAGAACTCAACTTTTATAAACTTACAACAAAATTATCATATTCGGAATCAGATGCGTATTTCTATCCTATCTATTTTTCTCCATGAAAAAAGGACTTTTAAAGATTCGAAAGGTGATATTCGTGATCAGCTCGACAAGGTGAATCAGAATATGTATGATAAATCGAAAAATAAAATCCACTTTAATTCTGCATTAGCTGCTCCTTATGTGTATAGAACGTTATTTCTCTTTAAAGGGCAAAATAAGGAAAGGCACAATTTTATATTTATATTGACATGTTCAGTAGAGATCTAGCAAATAAGAAAATATCTCATATGTGGATATTATTTTCGCCTCAGCATGTCGATACAGAAGAAAGCGGATAGAAAGATATGCTTATACAAAAAGAGATATCCCTTTATTTACTAGATCTCTATTTATTCTATATTCAAAAGAAGCATGCTTCATTTACAGCGAACACTGCAGTGCTCGCTGTAAATGTATTCTATATTCTGCCCATTTCGAGAATGAAAACTAAAACAATTAGAGAGGCTCCTTTTCCACTTTTTATACTAATCTGGAGTACACAAGTTGTATTATATCTTCATGTATTTCTCAGAAAATGGTCCCTGTTAATTTTTTAGATATAGAGCTGTCGATATCGCAGATTAAAGTTAATGAAATGTATGGATTTCACTTTAACTTTAGAAATTTTCTTTCATACTTTTGTCATACAACCACTTTCACAAAATTTTAACAATCTCACAACATCGTGTGAATTGAACATTAACACTAATTTTGATAAATATATTGAGTTAAATAAAGTCTTAATGAAGAAGTAGTAAAAATCATATAATCCATTGATATTGATAGTGATATAATAATAGCGTGAGAAAACATGGTTGTACAGTAGTCAGAATGCGAAAAAAAATAAATTTCTTATTTTCGTCCAATGGTGTTATTTAAAAAGACAAATTATTCTGTATGTATATTGTATGCTCATACAAGCGAGAATCAAATTTAAATTGTGGTTTTTGTCAGTCTTAGAGTACATATTCTGTATAGAATATTTTGCAAGTTTTATATTTTACACTATCTTTATACATTGTTATCGATTTTGGTGTAAATAATTCTAACAGGAAAAATAGACAACAATGCATACAAATTTCGCACAAAACCTAATTTATTCTATCAAGAATAAAACGAACAAATTTCGTCAAGAACATCACCTATCTTGCCGTTTGACTTTAAACATTGACAACGCCGTTTTTATTTTATTCTTTTTGATCGTACAATTCTCCATTCTGATTCTTTTTTCTTATATGAGCACATAGCGCCCAGTGAACATTTTTCTACAGAGCATGCGGAAGGGTGGCTTTTTCAGGTTAAAATAAACTATTTTTAACTGTAATCATCTTTTCTTACTTTTAGATTTCACAAAAGTACAAAAGCTTAAATTTTAGAAAACAAGTTTTCGACAAAAAATCTTTGGAGTGAACCCTTCTCGTGAATTTTTGCAGAAAAATAAATTACGAAAAATTGTCTTAATAAATTACGAATTTGTCTTGATAAAATTGATTTTAATATAAGAAAACTCAACTTTACCTAAAAAACCAGAGTTTTTTCAGAAACCTATATCTCCAGTCAACATATATATGCCGATATTCAAATCTCAAAAAAGCGCACTTAGGATTTTGAGCCAAACTTCCGCCTATATACCCACTATGCAGTATGTATGGAGAACAATTTTTCTTTAACGAACAAAGTAAGAAAAAGTAAATTATCGAATGTGTCCCAGTTCTCATTTAATTCCGTATTGAAAGTTAACTTTAATCTGCGATATTGACAGCTTTATATCTGAAAAACTAACCGGGACTCCTTCTTTCAAACATAGAATAAATGAACATGTCAGTACTTACTCGAATCATACTAAGATCTTACTAAAATTTCGCTTACATTTGTCTAAGATCTTAAACAAACCGATCGTGAGATCAGAAAATTCTAAGATTTCATAAGATTTTTCTAACGACGGAACCACTTGAGGTGATACCTCCCGTTTTCATTCATTCATATCTCATTTAGTTGAGTATATTGAGATAATAAAACCCTAAAGGGGATTTTCCCCAATCTCATTCCTTCAAAAGTTATCGACGTTTTCCTATTTTTACCCTTATACAAGATGAAAAATTTTCAAAGCAAAGTAAATCCATAAAAGAGTACAAATATAT